GTCTGCTTTCCCTGTGACCCCAATAGGGGTCACCCTCTGAACCTCTTTCCTCTTCTGTCCAGAGGACTAGCTTTGCCCTACTGGTCCAGGACAGCTTTTCTAAGAGCTAACCTCATCTATTAGCTTTTTATGAGCCTTATCTCCCCCTGGTGACCTTTATGGGTGAATCCGCCTTAAATCGCAGAGAACTTCAGCTTTTATCTCCAGCTTTAGTAGATTTGGGGCTTGCAGACTCATCCCATCCTGGGATGAGTGGTCCAAGTTCACCTGGTTTTCCCCCTTCAGACCAGAGATCCAAGGCTTATGTGCCTCCCTGAGGCCCATTTCAGTCAGCTGACACATCTCATAGGGGTATCAACAGGAGAGATGGGGTGGAGGCCTGATGCTGGGTTGAAGTGGCGGGACAAGCCTGCTCTGACTGCTTCCCAACCCACCCAGGGAAACACTAGAAACATTATCTCTCACATGTGGAGAAGTGTCTCGAGGCTCACTTCAAAGTTGGGAGTAAGAACTCCTCTGGTACATTAGAGGTTTTCTGAGCCTGACTTGGGGGTGGGTGGTGCTGCATCTGACCTGCACCCTCTGGTTAGCTCAGCGATGGAACCAGCTTCCAGCTGGGAAGCCAACCATTCAAACAGTGCTGTAGCAGATATAGAACCAGTCTGTCAGAAAAGCTGAGCATTTGTCTTCTTTGCATTCAAGACATTTCCTAAGCTCCTGAACTCTGGCTGTGTCAGCATTGCGTGGCGTTCTGTGGTGCAGGGAGGATTTAGGCCTGAGCTCAAATCAGTAGACTTCCAAATAACAATGATACAAGTGAGTTCCATATATAAAATGCACAAATAGCCCTGGTTAGTGTGCTTAATGGTTAGCATTGACCTGTGCACCAAAGGGTTGAGGGTAAGATTCTGGTCAAGGGCATATATCTGGGTTATAGGTTCTTTCCCCACCCCATTGGGGAATTGATGTCTCTCTTTTTGCTCCCTCTCAAAAAATAAACGTGAAAATATCCTCAGATGGGGATTAACAAAAAACAAAACAAAACCAAGGCACAAATAGGGGCTGTAAGAGAAAGAGCGTAACTTCTGACATTTGGTTCTGGTGTCAGGTTCTCATAGGTAAGACTGTATGTACATTAAAATTTGAGTCAGGCAGTTTTGAGTTGTTTAATGAAAATTGTAGAAAGGGCACTATAGGCAGAAGGAATAGCTTGAGCAAAGTTGGAATCACCAACCAAAGTGCAAGGTTAACCTAAAGAACAGCAGAGCTCCCAGGAGTGCTAACTTCTAAGCGATGGATGAAGGTATCACAAGGCGTGAAGCTTCAGATACCTCAGAGTCCAAGCATGAAGGGTGTGAACATCGTGCTTCCACCGAGTATGCTAACTTTACAAGCAATGAAGGCTTCATATAGGCTTTTAAAGTAACATTTATTTTTTTTTGAAGTTAACATGTGCATATATAGGAAACTGAAAAACACAAGCAAAGAACAAGGCCATCCATAATCACAAGCAGTTTACAGTCTGATGTGTTCTTCTAAGTCCTGTGTATCTACACAATTAAGCTTCCATTTTTATGTAATTAAGATGGTACAGTTATGTATCATGCTTTCTCACACATCATGAATATTTACCATTTCAAAGTACCAGTATTTTGATAACCAAGAATACCCTACATCAACTCAATCTGGAAGAAAATGTAATCCTGCCTTACTTGGTGACAAAAATTTTATAAAGGACAAAAATAGCAACAGACCTCAAGATAAAATATATTCACAAAGTTACAATTAAAATACTGCTCCCCTTAATGTTCCATTAAAAATGAGACCCAAAGCAAGAGTACACAAAGTATAATGCTTCTAAGAGAATTATGATTAATACTTTGAAATATTAGCAATGTGGCAAGTTTTGACTGAAGTACTTAACATATTCCTCTAGCAGTCTAAAGAGATGCACGCACATCGTGGTTATCACACAATGTGAATATGAACACATCCACACACACCCCCCCTCACAGGAACAAGTCCTGATGTCCATTTCTCAGAAGGTACAACTCCTCCATGTCCAAGATGCCTCTTTTCTAACAATTATAACAAAAAGATATTTACAAATTGGTTAATTCACTAGCTCTACTTTTTATCAGACACTGTCACCTCAGGACATCTAAAAAGCTCCAATGTTGCAAAACAAAGAACCTTGTTCACAACACAGGAACTTTACAAAAATGCATATAGAGCTATAGTTATAACCTAAAACTTTCTTCTAGGTATGGAGATATTAGCAAAGAGCCCTTCCCTTCACCCTTCCTCTTCTCCCTCCTCCACCACTTCAGTGACTAAATACAGAACACCTGGCTCCAAGAGGTGGCTTAACAAAGACATTCCCAGACGACAGTCCTTCCTAAAAACTAACAAGAGGGCTTTTATAAAGGGATTATTTCACTATCTCTACTTTTAATATACTTCGGGCATTATCCTTGAATACACAGCAATATTAACTAATATGCACACATATAACAATGGTTAGATAATTTTAATTTCTCTAAAGACTCATGGGCACAGAACCCTTTTTTCTGTATTTCCTTCCCTCCCCCTTCCCTTGTGAACTGTCAGCATACTCTCCAAGACATCAAATTTAACAATTCCATTCCTCAAATACCACCATTCCTATAAATTAACAAAAAATACTTAAAGGGTGTTCATTTTAACTCTTAACTGTTGTGCACTTTCAAACATCTAGAAAGATTAGCCATCTCAAATAAGGATTTGATTAAACTGCACATAGAGGCCATAATCTGAAAGTGTCTTCTGAATAGGAAGGAACTTCCTGGCCTAAAACCCTTCCCCTTTTCATCTCTATCAACACAATGGATAGTACAATAAGCACCTGTAATGCTTAGAGAGGATTTTAAGAATTTTACTTCTCATGTTTTCTGAACAGTTTTTTTAGGAATCTGTACACCATGTATTTGTTTACTAACTACTGTCATACACCGGCAACCTCTGTAACATCTAGAAAGGCTAGATGTTGTAAATTAGAACAGTTTGTCCTTCACATACAATATATACGCAGCTAAGTAAAACACAATGCACAGGCACAAGGGAAGATGGTTAATCTTGCCTAACTATAAACATATTGGTATAAAGCCCTTTGCACTTTCTTCTCCTTCCTCCCTGAACCAGTACAATATAATAATGTGCACTGCTCAGAGACGTGGTTTGATCATCCCATTTCCAAAACATAGTATTTGAAATGAATTTTAACAAAAGGATATATACAAAATGTGTTATTTTACTACCTCTACTTTTAACATACTTTGTGCACTTCTAAACATCTAGAAAGACTAGATGTTTCAAATAAGGACTTGTTTGTCCACTATATACACAGTAGTGTTGAATAAACTACACACATGTAACAATGGTTATATCTGAAAGTGTCTTCCATATAAGAACATTCTAGTCTGAAACCCTTCATTTCCTCCTGACCACCATCAACTCAATGGGTTGAATAGGCACATGTATCACTTATAGGTAGATTTCACAATTTTTCAAAGTCCTTTTCAGAAGACAGCCTTTTGATAAATTTTAACACAAAGTATACAAAATGTGTTAGTTTATGAACTCTACTTTTGTCATACATTGGCAACCTCTTTAATATCTAGAGACTAGATATTATAAAATTAGGACCTATTTGTCCAATATATTCACAATATATACAGTAAAGTTAAATGAAATGCATGTAACATATAGGGCAGCAAAGGATAAGCTAAAAATTTTCTATCACACACTAGCAAAACATCCTTTTGCAATGTCTTCCCTCCCACCTCCCTCAACCTTGTAGTGAACAAAGTACATAGAGTACACTATTCAAGAGGTGGTTTAACAATTCCATTTCTAAAGACAATATTTTCTATTAGGTTTTAAAAGCTATTTATAAGAAGCATTATTCTACTACTTCTACTTTTAAGTACATCAAGCACTTCTAAATGTCTAGAAAGACTAGATATTTCATATAAGAACTTACTTGCCCACTATGTGCACAGACTGTTAAAACTGCACATACCAACAATGGTTATAATCTGAGGTATTTATTAAATATGATCATGTTGACCTGAACCATTCCCTCACTCCCTTCTCTTCACCACCAATCCAGTGGACAAGTACAGGTGTGTGTAATATTTAAAGATGGTTGAATAAATTCATATCCAAAAATCATTTACACAAGACAAGCTTTCCTATGAATTTCAACACAAAGTGTACAAAATATAATTTTACTACTTTGTCATATACTGGCAACCTCTTTAACATCTAAAGACTAGCTATTGCAATTTAGGACTTATTTGTCTATTATATACACAGCAAAACAAAACGCACATAACATATAAAAATTGTTTTATCTGAAAATGTCCAAATATGAACACACTAGCATATTAGCTTTTGCAATTCTTTCCCTCCCACCTTCAAATTACTGAACAAATATCAACTATACTATATTGCTCACAGAGGTGGCTTAACAATCCCATTCCCAAAAGATAGTATTTCCTATGAATTTTAGTAAAAAGATATTTACAAAAGTGATATTTTACTACCTCTACATTTAACATACGTTGGGCACTTCTAAACATCTAGATGGACTAGATGTTTCAAAAAAGGACTTAATTTGTCCACTATATATACAGCAGCTTTGAATAAACAGCACACATTTAATCTGAAAGTGTCTTTGAAATATTAACATTGTAGCCTAAGACCATCTTTTCCCCTTCTTCCCCTCCTCCACCAACCATGTAGGCTATAATGCTCAAACATTCAGAAGACAATCTTTCCTAGAAATTTTAGCACAAATGTAAAAAAATGCATTAGTTTCCTAACTACTTTTGTCATACACTGGCAACCTCTTTAACATCTAGAAAGACTAGATGTTGTAAGTTAGGACTCACTTGTCCATTATATACACTATATACACAGCCAAGCAAAACTAAATGCATGAACATAAAGGACAATGGTTAATCGGCCTCATTTTGAAACACACTGGCATCCGGCTCTTTGCCCTTCCTTCTCCCTTGAACCAGTGCACAAATGTGTATTGTCAAAGAGGTGGTTTGGCCATTTCCCAAAATAAAAGAGTATTTGATATGAATTTTAACAAGATATTTACTAAAATGTCTTTTTTTTTTTTTTACTAACTCTACTTTTATCAGGCACTTCAGAACATATAGAAAGAAAGGTATTTCAAAAAAGTACTTGGCATTGTTAACTAGTATACAATAGTGAGGAATAAAATGCACACATAAAACAATGGTTATAATATGAAAATGTCTTCTAAATATGACCAGTCTGGCACAGAACCTTCTTTTCTTCCTCCTCAAGGTCTCTCCAGGTCTTCCAAGCCCCGGGGCAAACGTGGATGTGTGTCGCTCCCGATGCCGCACGCCGTGTCTAGAGGCAGTCCGACAATTCCATCTCAAAGTCATTTCCAGAAGACATTTCTTTTGATATATTTTTTTAAATGGGCGTTTGCAAGACGTGTGATTTTTCTAACTCTACTTTATCATACGTTGGCAACCTCTTTACATCTAGAAGGCCTAGATGTAGCAAATTCTCTTTTGAAAGGTTAGGGGGAAAGTTGAGAGCAGCTTTTTCATATTATATACACAGGCGCCTATAAAGGGCCAGTAAATCTTCGCAAAGGGTGGTGGGCACTTCCTAGTAGCCAGATGTGGCACGTTCTTCTGCCATTTCTCGTCCGAAATTAGGGTTTGCATAACGAAGACCAACCGCCCGAAGGCCCGCTAACCGCTCCACCCGCCGTGGGTGGGGCTCCGCTCACCTTCGGTCCTTAAGGCCTTTGTCCATCGTGGTCAGGACGAGGTGAGGTCTCCCCCACATGGGACGGGGGAGACACCCCAGGCGCCCACCCAGGTGTCCAGGCCTGAGGGTGGGCGAGCGATGTCCACGCAGGCCCGCCTCTCGGCCTCCGAGGCCCCAACGGCCTCCCTCTGCGCATTCCAGCGGCCGCCATTCTTCTCGCCCCGCCACGCCCGTCGCTCAAGGCAGCGCGGCCTCGGAGGCTGGTCTCGTCCTGGATCTGCTCACGGCGGCTCGGCGGGGGCTCCGCTTAGGCCCCGGAGGGTTAGGCCGGGAGACCTTGGTCCACTGGATGCGCCCGGGGGAGGCCACCGCCATCGGGTGGCGGAGATGGAGGTGGGGGTGGAGAGAGAGGCTCGCTGCTGCTTCCGAGCTCGGACCTGGACAGTGGGCCCCCGCGGGGAGGGCTTTGGGTCTGCCCGTCCCCGGGCCCCCCAGTTCACCCGCCGGCCGGGGCCGGGGGGTCCGGGGGCCCGGAGGCCCGGAGGCCCAGAGGCCCGGAGGGGCCCGGAGGAGAAGGCCGCACTCCACTTCCCTCCGCGCTCTCTGCCGGAACTGACTTGGCAGTTCTCTACGCGGGCTAGAGAGAAGCGGAACCGGAAGCGCCCTGCACCCGGACCCGCAAGCCAGGGTTCCGGGACTGAAAGGTTCCGCTGGGAGGAGGGGGGAGGGAAGCGTCTTGTGAGAGGCCCTCTGGCGAGTTCTTTGCAGCCTTAGTAGTTAAAGCCTCGGAATACCTGAACATCAGTATTTCTTTACTCCAGATTCCTTCACTCCAGCTGTTGGACAAGGAGGCTCTCTCTAGTCTTTCATTCACTCATTCACGACCTGTTTATTGAGCACTATTACGTGCCACATAAGCACTGGGGAATGCAACAGTGAAAGAAAAAGACCCCGCCTGAAAATGTCTTTCTCCTGCAGTTTGCATTCTACTAGGGAAAACAGACAATTCTTAAAATGCATATAAGGGTAGATAGCGAAAGTGCTATAAAAATAAAAAGTAGAGGAAAATATGCAGTGAGTGTAGAATGTTTTAGAAGGGAGCCAGGTGACTTTTGAGAAGATATCTGAAGGAGGTGATGTCGAGTGGAAGATCTTTCTTGGCAGAGGGGAACTGCCCGTGCACAGGCTCTAAAGCTGAAGTGCATGGGCCTGGTCTGTTCCACCAACAGCAAAGAGGCTGGAGCAGAGTGAGCAGGCAAGAGTGCAGAGGTTAGAACAGGCCGTGTAGTGTGAAATCAACTACTACGTGAAATAGGATAGTGACTTGTACCAGGACGGCAGCAAAGGTGACAAAAGTGGTTAAATTCAAGTTAAATATAAGATCCAGTCTGCAGGGTTTGCTGATAGACCAGATGTGAAGTATGAAAGAGAGGAATTGAGGATAATGTCAAGGCTTTTGGCCTGAGAAAATTAAGGAGGGAATTGGGAAAGACCATGGGATGAACAAGTTTTGGGGAGAATATCAGGAGTTCATTTCTGGACATGGTAAGTTTGAGATGCCCGTTTGATATTCAAGTGGAGATACTAAGTGGACAGTTGGATTTATGAGTGGCATTCAGGGGAGAGTCTGAGCTAGACATATACATTTGGGAGCCATTAACATATGAATGCCTTTAAAGTATGAGTCTACATGAGAGAACCAAGAAAGTACATAGACAAAGAGAGTGATCTTAGGCTGAGTCGTGTAAAAAGGTCAGAATGATGAGATGGAACCAGCAAAGAAGACTGAGGAATGACTACAGTGTTAGGAGAACAACCATAAGAGTGTGGTGTCTTAGAGAGAAATGGAGAAAGCATTTTAGAAAATTATCAATAGTATCAAACATTACTGATAGGTCACCTAAGATACAGTTGAAAATTAGTGTACTTCAAGCTTTAAAATCCATGCTATGATAAACCTTCTTGTGAATTTTCACACTTTGTGGAGGTTTCTGGTTTCCTTTGGATACAAGTTGAGAAATGAAAAGAAAGATCAAAGGGTTGGTTCAGGCTCAGACTCTCTTGATACAGACTCACAGGATTCACAGGAGGAAAATTCTGCAATTTGAAAGACCCCTCTGCTGGAAAGCAGAAAGGAGGGGTGATGAGAAGGGCAAGAGCTCGAGGCACTGGGGCTTTAGTCCACGATGAGGTGACAAAGTACTAAGCTGCGGTGGTGGCTACAGAAGTAGAAAACAGGTGAGTTGAGAGTTTCTAGTTTTGCAGAGAAAGAAGCCACCTGAGTTAAATATCTGGAGAGAAGAGAGAGGAGGGGGAGGAGAAGCCACATCACACAAGGTTTCAAACAGCAGGACTGACTAGCTAGGTGGGTGGTTAATACATTAACCAATGCTCTAGCTGACTAGAATGTTGGCCTGTGGACTGAAAGGTCTCAGGTTCGATTCCAGTCAAGGACACATGCTTAGGTTATGGGCTCAATCCGCAGTAGGGGGTATGCAGGAAACAGCCAATCAATGATTCTCTCTCATCATTGATTTTTTTTTTCTCTCTCTCCCTCTTCCTTCCTCTCTGAAATAAATAAAAATACATTAACCAAGATTAGGAGAATGAAAGTCTCAGTGTACAGTTTCCTGCCCCCCTTTCTGAGCTTCTTACCTCCTAAGCAGCAGCCAAAGGGCTGGTATCTCCGGAACTGAAATATCACGATAATGACAAATATGTGTACTGCTTTCTACTTGATATATCTCTACTTGAATGTTCCGACAGTATCTTAAACTACTCTTGTGTAAAACAAGACTCTTTATACCTCCTCAGAGCCTGTTCTTCCCCAAATTAGTAAATTGTAGTGTCATTCATCCAGTTCCCAAATAAAAAATGAGGCATCTTCTTTGATTCCATTCTTCCTCTCCTTCCCCAACCCCCAACCATCATAAGTCCTGTTTTCCTCCTCAGTGTATTTAAAAACACAGCCATTTCCCTGTGCTTTCCAATATAGTAGCCTTTAGCTACAAGAAGCTATTTACATTTTAATTAAAATGACATGAAATTAAAAATTTCAATTCCTCATCTACACTAGACATGTTCCAAGAAGTAAGAGTCACAGGTGGTTAGTGGGTGCCATATAAGCACAGATATAGAACATTTCCACATTCCCGTTAAGTCATAGGGCAGTGCTGATCTATACCCTAGTCCAGACCGGAAACATCTCTAGTCTGAATGACTGGAATAGCCTCTTCATCGTTGTTTTTACTTTTCTATTACTCTTCCCTTCCAATCCATTCTCCTACTTGTAACCAGAAGTCAGATCTTGTTGTGGCTTTTCTTCACACTTTGAACAAAATCCAAGCTCCTTACCATAGCCTGCTGCCTTCCGTCATTATATCCCAGCCACACTGGCTTCCTTGCTGTTCCTCCCACTCTAAGTTTTCCTTGACCTCAAGGCTCTACACCTGCTGTTTCCTCTATTGGATGATCCTTTCCCTGGCTAATAGCAAGGCTAAGTTTCTTCTCATCTTAGGTCTCTGTAGAGGGCCTCTCCTGACTTCCTCTTCTAAGTGAGGTTTCTTTCAGTTAATATCACATCACCCTACTTATTTCCTTCTTTCATTAATCACAATATTTCATTATGTTATTAATAATAATAAAATGTCTATGTACTTCTTATGTATAAGGCACTGTGCAAATAACTTGCTTTATATATTTCATCTTATTTATTAATTTACTAGTTTCTTTTCTTTTCCCCTATGTCTCTGACACCCAGTACAGTGACTGACATACAATAGACATTAATAATTGTTAAACAAATGAGCAAATTTATTGAGCACTTACTAGGGGTCGGGCATTGTGCTAAGCACTTTACATATATTGTACAGTGATTCTATGATGTAGGTACTGGTATTCCCTTCCTTTAATAGATGAGAGACTATGTAACTAGTCTAGTTCATAAGAAGAACTAGGATTCTAACCCAGGTCATCTGACTCTGGGGCTCCCTGGGAAGGTACCATAGAGGGTATAGAGGCCTGAGAACACACCAGCCAGCAGCCGGCACAGCTCAGACTAGAAGCCCCCAAACAAAGTCTTCTTTTTTGAGAGGCTTTCCATTTCAGATCAGGCCAGAGATTCTGGGTGTTACTGCTCAGCTGGGAGGCAGACCTGAGCCAGGGCTCAAGATTCTGTTATGAGTCAAGCTAAATGCTCCAGTTCAATTCTGAGCATCCTCAGTGGGGTGGGGGGCCGGCCTAGAGACCCCAGACAAGATCCTGAGTCAGAGGAGTACCCAGTCTGACCACTGACACCACCGTGTCTTTCTGCCTATCTCAGATCAAGGATGAGACAAGGAAAAAAGTAAAAATAATGAATCTTCTCAGGAAACATCACATATCAGACCTGTAACACGGAAGGGTGTTTGTTAGGTCAAAGGCTCCAAGCTCATTAGTGGGAATGGTGCTGATCTGCAAGCCACCCACACAGCTTTCTTGGGAAACAAACACAGAGCAGCATCTACTCCTCCCAGGCCTGGGCCTGCATGGCTCACCATTATCAACATCTGCACACATCTGCACCCAGTAGGTCTGGTTGGCAGCAGGGTCCTGGCAATGGATTGGGTGTGTGTGAGTGGGGTGTCCCAGAGAGGCTGTTCATAATCCTCCTCCTCCTCCTCAC